TCCAGCAAGGATATATAGGTATTGCCTCATATTGTAACGTCGCCTACCAAATATGAACAAAGCAAGATTAATTTGGTGTCTGCATCATTAATTACCTCTAGGATTTGGATGAAGTCAAGGCGAAGAATAATAGGATGTGATTCCTTTAGTTTGTGGCACGCCTCCGCCAAGAAATATTAAGCTATTGGTGCAGATCTCATCCATCATGAGAACTTGAAGATGGAGAGATTTCTTGGTGCTCTACTTCAAGAAGAACCTCGGGTAGCACCCAAGTTATTCTCGATATCAAACCTGGGGCATGAGATGATTGTCTTTGCTATAGGAGCTAGCCAATCCTACTAATCAATCGAGCCTGCTATAAGTGATGGATGTGCTATTAACACTACTTCGATTAGTCGCAAAGAAGAGGCTGGCAATTCAATCTTTTCGCTGTTCCGCCCACAGTTTCAGACGGGCTTCGCAGTCGAGTGCCATCATTACCACAAAAAGGGGCATAAGCATGAGTTCTTTCCTAAGCGCAACTGGTGCATTTATTGAAAAAAGAAGGTCACATAATCTATAACTGTACTATGGTGCAGATTAGCATGAAGGATGTTGGAAGTTCCTCGAGCAGCTCGTCTAGTACACATCTAGCATTGTGGTCACTCCGATTCCCTTGAACTGCTCACAAACATAGCTATCATCTCAACGTTTTCCAACTTGCAAGTCTCTAGAAAGAATCCTCCATGGATTTTGATTCCACATGCTTTAATCACATGACACACAATGTTTATGCGCTATATAATATGCGACCGGTTGAGAATTTAGCCTTGCATGTGATGACACTTTATTTATAGTGTTTTTCACTCCCATTCTTGATACATTTTCCCCTTTTGTAAATTCATATTTAGTCATTTCAATGGTATTTCTAATCTAACTCACAAATATCTGATCAATGAACATTAATAGACTTGAGAAATATTCTTGTACTATTTGATGTCTTCTTGGTATGTTTTTCTTATGTTTTTGAAGGTAGAAAGCAACCTAAGAATTGTTGGATTAAGCATTGAAGAACTCTAATGGACCAAGTGAGCTACAAAGAGAAGGTTAATGAGCTTTTGTGAGAAAGAAGAGATCCAATGACAGGGAAGTCAGCTTGAAGTCGCTACATTATCTCAAAATAAGCCCATAGAAAGAAGACTCAACCTATTTGGACAAAGTAACAAGTTGGGACCCAATCAACACACCTAACCTCTAATACGGGTGACACCACAATTTACAAGAAAATCGTCAGGAAAGAACTTTAGGGACCATGAAGCCTAAACCACGAAGAAAAACAGTGACGGGTCTAATCACTGCCCTACCGCCGCTTACCTTAATCCTTGTGGGAGAAGTTATGCATTACAAGACCTCAAGAAATACGACCCTAGGGCCTCCTAGAATTTATCACATGATATCACATCAAGTTTTTGGCGCCGTTGCAGGGGATTTGTAATCATATATAAAAGCATCTAACAATCTTATGTTTAGTATTGTATCTTTTTTATTTTGTAGATTTTTGTATGAGTCCAGCATCTACTAGAAGACAAATAAAAATCATAAAAATTGTGGAAGAGATATTTCATGAAGGACGACCGTCTATTTCACCCATCTTGAAGATGAAGGAAGGAGCATCTAGCTCTGGAGAAGAAAAACCCTAAGCCCCACCAATTTCGAGCAACCCTTGGAAGAGGAGGACACCATAGACGAAGAAAACTTCAATTCGGAGAAAGAAGGAGCATCTTCTAATTCTTCAACACCAACGATGGCTGGAGAAGAAGGACGAAGACAAGTGGTCGTTCCACCAACTCTGTAAGAGTATTCAAGGCCAAGAGCATCCAACATCAATTGAAGCATTGTTGTGCTACCAACGACCATAGAAATCAGAACTCAACTTATCCCGATGGTGCAACAAGCAGTGAGATTTTGAGGAAGGAATGATGATGATCTGGTGCAACACTTGAAGACATTCTTAGAGATTGTTAATTCCATACCAGGAGATAATGCTAGCAAAGATGAAATTTGAATACAAATTTTTCCGTTCTCTCTTGGAGGAGGAGCAAAGTAGTGGCTCGAATACCATCCACCAGAAACTTTCACCACATGGGCGACCATGGCACAAGTATACATTGATGAGTACTTTCCACTGTGGAAGACAAAAGAGCTTAAAGACGAGATTACTCGATTTCAACAGGAGGGAGAGACTATCTATGATGCTTGGAGGAGATTCCTGGAGTATATCAAGGCATGCCCCCATCATGGATTCACACCGAAGCAGATTTCAAAGTATTTTTCCAAAGGCCTTGATCGAGAAACCACAATGATGGTAAACAATTTGGCCGATGGAGATTTCACAACAATGAGGGGAGTACAATGTCAGGAGAATTTTGCCACACTAGCAAGGAAGTCAAAGAACTAGTCCAATCGTCCATCAACGATCAAACCATTGAAAGTTTCCCAAGTCCGGGAGGATGATGTTGACACCCTATGTGCATACATGAAAGAATAAATGAAAGAGCTAAGCCAACAACTAAGAAGAACTTCAATAGGGTCAAAGAATGGACCGGGGACATCCTTGTTTGTTTGTCAAGCATGTGGAGAAGGTCATGAATGATTTGACTAATAGAGCAAAGAAGGGCAAGGACATGGAGACAAGCAAAGAGTATTCAACCCTCTTTGGAAGACCAGTCCTAATCACTACTGGAGCAAGGATTGATGTTGTTAATAGAGAAATAACCCTTCACGTAGGAAAACTCTTGCATAAAGTGGAGAAACCAATCAAAAGGAGTGATGAACACGAGGAGTATCAACATGAGAATCTAGATGATGAGATCAAATTTTGATTTGGCTATCATTTTGAGGATTCAAAAAACATACTAGTTCATCATCATGATCTTGACCTTAGGTATGGAAGAGAATCAAATATGGTTCTGCCAATTCCCGGTCTCAAAGAAGCTAAAATGGCACTCAGAATAGCCTGTACAAGGGAAAAGACGATGGTTGCAAAGATTGGGGAACTGGAGTATGAGGCAACAAAGTATAAGGAGTTCATTAGTCAACATCAACCCAATGGATTCAATTACCATTATATCCTTGCAACGGGATGGGGAGATGGAGATGAAGTGACACCTGCTGTAACATCATCTGAAAGGGAATCTAGCTGAGCCTAGCTCAAAGGCATAAAAGAAAGAGCTCTCCATGAGAGGCAACACAACCCAGCAAAAGTGCTACCGCGGAGAATTCCCAGATTTCTCTTTCCTAGATTAATTTTTAATTTCAAAGTTTGTTTTTTGGCTTAAAATTTTCAGTTACTCATTGGAGAAAAATATTGTATCTTTTGGATGTGTTACATTTGGAGCTAATTTCAATCTTATGAGGAGAATGGAGGATTTTAAGACGTGAAAAATAGTACGAAACCAACTTTTGTACTATTGAGGTAAGTTTTATAACGTGAAAATTCTGGAATCCGAAGTAGAATGCAAGAGGAAGCCACAATGGTCACCACCTCCGTCGTCCCCACCCCAATAAAATCCATTTTCGACCATTCCACCTCCAAAACTCAGAATTTTGTCCTTAGATTCGGGATACAACCTACCCATCACCTACCAAACAAAGCCGTTGCACGAAATTCCAAAAAACTTGTCAGAAGACCCATGACAGCTATACCCGCCGTAGCACCGCTGCCACAATTCCTCTTTGTTTTTTCATTCTTCGATTTTGTTTGCAAATTCCTTCAATCCAAGTAAGCACCCATGATATTTTGATGAATTTGGGAGCTTGAACCATGAAGTTAGGACTTCGAATGAGGATTTCAAAGTTTAAAATTTCATTAGATTGGTAAGAGAATCTTTTGTAATTTTCGGCATATGCTAGGCACAATCGCTGTTTATTATTAAAGGTGATTACTTATATGCTTAGAAATGAGATTGCATCGTGCTTATGATGATTTTTAACGTATGTATGCCTGGATGGATTGATGAATTTTAGCAAAGGTCATGCAAAATTTTGCAAAATTTTGGAATGTTACATTTTCACTTTGAGCTTTAAACGTCAAAAAGTTATGCAACATTTAAAAAAAAAATGTAGATATTTTGGAGTTTCAAATTTACAATGGGAGTAGGACATTGTTAGTTTCAATTTCACTACTAAGTCGGATTGAATGCATGTCATTTTACTTGTGCCAACTTATCAACCTAATCTTATAACTTGGAGCCTCTAAAGATTTCGAAGTTTTCAAGATATGTGCTTCATACTACTTCTACATTTTGATCTAGAATATTTCATATATTTATAGGAACTTTAATGAGAGAGGAAGTAGATGGAGTACTATCTTGTTACGGGTTAATGACATAAATATTGTTTTTTTTTACCATCAATATGACGGATTAAAAAGTATTTACACAAATATTGTGTATTTGTTTAGGGTTAGAGGTGGGGCCACCAAAGACTAAGGCGGGGCCACGTTTTGAAATTTTAAAACGAGTCAGAGGCGCTGGCGCCTGAGTCTCCAGCGCCCCCGCCATCCACCACTCATTTTATTTTTAAACCTAGCGGCCGAAGCCTCTTATCTTCTTCTTCTTCTTCTTCTTCTTCCTCCTCCCCCAACACCACACCCCCCCCCCCAACCGCCGCCACTACCTCACCCGAACCAGACCCCACGCCGCCGTCGCAAGCAAACCCGCCGCAGACAAAGCACCACCGCCGCGGACAGAGGTGCCAACGCCGCAGATAGAGGCGCCAGCGCCTGAGTTCGACGGAGATGTCGACCGACGAAGACTAAGCAATCGTCGGCACAGGCAGGGGGAGAGATCGGTGAGGACGTGGAGCCGACGGTCATTTTCGTGGTGAGAGTCTCGCCAGTGGCGACCAGAATCTCGCCGCCGGCGTGTTTTTATTGGCGGTTTTCTTTAATTAATTATTTTTTTGCTTTTGCAGTTCCTAGGCTTATGGACCCTTATTCGATCAGACTACCGCCTGTGACAATTGATCCAGCTCCGGTCGATCCGGTACTTCTTTGGGGACATGGCCAACATCGTATCTACTCAGTTTGGGCAAACGAGGTAAGTATTTGATAATTATTCATGTAAAGTTAATTAGCTAGTTAGATTAGATTATTTTAGTTGGTGAACTGAACTTTACTGAAATTAGAATAGAATTACGTATCAAATTGAAATTAGATAGATTAGATTTTACTAGGTGAAATTAGAATTACTGCGAATGAAATTGAATTAATATAAGTTTTGTGCACTATAGGCTGGTGATAGACCTTATCATGTTCGAGGTACGACCATGTTAGTCACGTACCATGAGCGTTATCAGCCATATCTCGGAGCGACTGGCTTGTCTAGTGAGTTGCCTCTGGTCCCTATGAACTCTTATGTGAGTTTGATTACTGCGCTCGTAGAGCGGTGGCGACCCGAGACGTCGACCTTCCATTTACCGTTTGGTGAGGTCAAGATCACGTTAGAGGACGTTGTGACACTTTCCGGTCTGGCGATCCACAGTGATGCCGTCGTAGTTGACATACCGGATGAGGAGTGGCCGGCGATCTGTTTGAGACTGATAGGACGGGTTCCAGATGATCTTTCAGGCAGTGTCGTTAGGATTTTTTTGGCTGAGGGATGAATTCAGTCATCTTCCGAGAAATGCATCCCAGGAGGTTACAGAGCAGTTTGCACGAGCTTATGCTCTATCTCTGATGGGAGGTGTACTGTTCCCGGATCGATCTTGAGCTACGGTGCACCTACAGTACCTACTTCTGATTGAGGATTGGCAGAGAGCTGGACGGTTCGCCTGGGGAGCAGCTGTTCTATCATACTTGTACCGTGAGATGGGTAGGTCGGCTTTGCACATTACACATTCCTCCACTTCTCTAGGAGGTGACCTTGGTGGATGGGTCGCCCTACTGCAGCTCTGGGCGTGGGAGCGATTCCCACATTTGACACCGAGACATTTAGAGGCGAGGGCGCAAATTGCCGAGGATGCATCCCCACGTGGTCTTCGATGGCTTCTGGCCAACACTCGCCAGTATGGTGACCAGCTATTCCAGTACAAGTTGTGGTTTGACGAGATGGAAACCATGGTGGTTAGTATATAACATTTCATTTTATAGAATAGTTTTTATTTGTTTGTTTTAGATTTAGGGATAATAACTTGACCAATTTTTTTGTGTAGTGGCAACCTTACGTTGAGAGAGCACTTCATCTTAGAGGTAGTGTGATACAGTCTGAGACGTTTCGAGTAGTAGTGCCACTGATATGGTTTTCAGCGGTGATGTGGCACCATCCAGACCGCGTACTCCGGCAGTTTGGCATGAGGCAGCTTGAGCCTCATCCGCCACATCCTGAGGCTGAGGTTAGGTTTTTTATACATCAGACTACTCATGGGCCATCGTGTGAGCAACAGTTAGTACATGCCTCCAGAGAGTCGCTTGCTTTCTGGAACCGTTGACATGAGTTCGTAGCAACGGCTCCATACATTGATGAGGTTTTAGCCTACCACTCGGAGCATATGGAGTGGTATCGAGATGTCACCATACGTTCAGGCACACGGAGAGGAGCTGCAGTGGAGGCATTGGTTAGTTATTTTTTTGTTTAATATTTTTTTGTATTTGTCTTGAATTTCTTAACTGTGTGAAATCTCTGACATTTCAATTTAAATTTTAGTACGACACTTTGGAGCATGCTGAGGTGAGTTTATGTGACGGAGTACGGACTGGAGGGATGTCCACTGACCAGTGTGAGGAGTTGGCCAACATGATGGCATCAGGGGTTGCTACTTTAGGTTTGGAGCGGCACAGACACCCTGAACTGGGTCGTCCCGGAGCCACAGTTCAGACAAGAGCATAGGCCACGTAGGCAACAACGTGAGCATCGTGATGTACCTAACCCAGTCCGGATTTCAGATCGACAGCGGTCACAGCCCGTCCGGCCTACTACGACCTTCTAGTTTAATCCGACGTTTCAGCCAGGCACGTATTCAGGACATCAGACAGGCGCCACTTCTTCAGGATTTCAGGCAGGACCTCATTCAGCCTTTTAGCCTCCTCCTCGGCCGCAGTATCACTCAGATCCTTCTTCGAGCTTTCAGCCTCCTCCTCAGTCGCAGTTTCAGTCGGATCCTTCTTCGAGCTTCCATCCACCAGAGGATAGCTTCCATACACCACAACATGCTACGATGGGAGGCTGATACATGGCCTCAGGTGGTGATACTAGAGCAGCCTCATCTCCCAACCCGTGGGACGCTCTAGAGGGTGATGCGACCTTTCAGGAGACGATGTTGAATTATGAGCAGCATCTTCAGTCTCAGCAGCATGATGGCGGTGTACCTGAGGAGTAGATTCAGTCTCAACAAGATGATATGTTCGGTACACATTATCAGAATGGTGGTGTCGAGGGAGATCAGCCCCAAGAGTATGATGGTAGGCCTCCACGTAATAGGGTGCCTACGAGGTGTGGTACTGGGGGCCATCTAGTGGTGGAGCATGGTGGCCGTCGTGGTGGTCGTTAGTGAGACTATTATTTTTCTTATGTTATTATTATGTACTTCTTTGGGATATTTATGTGGACTATTATGTGGACTATTTTATAATTTTGACTATTATGTGGACTATTTTTAACTTCATGTATTATGTTATTAACGATAAATATTTGGAACAACAAATAACAAACAACAAGTTGGCCAACAACAACAACCTACGCATGGAAATACAACCACTACTTCAAACCATAATAACTACTTGAAAAACAACAACTACTACATTTGATAAAAATTCGACCAAACTACATACCACGTCTATTACCACTACTTCCTCTTCCCCCACCTCTCCCACGTCGTTGGCCAACACTTCCTCTTCGCTGGCTCCCACTCCCACTTGCTTGGACACCACAAGTTGATGCATTATGGCCACTTTGGTTAATTGGTTACAGTTGCTACACACTGTTTGAGATACACCCTCTCTTGGCCAATCCATCTCGTTGTTAATTCTTGTAACTCGTGGCCTCCCCGGTTTCCTAATCATGTGCACATTAAGATGGAGAATAAGACCATTATGCTTCTTCCAACCCTTAGGTTCGCCAAGAGGTGTGAAACTTGTCCCATAACAAGTCAACACTGTTTCCAGCTTATAGACATCGTTTACAAACATATACGGATTAGCCTCCATTTTGCAAGCTGCAATGGCATGAGATCAAGGAATTTTATTTCCTTGAAATTTCTCACAGATGAAAAATCCCGCCCGGTTGCGGTCGTCGAAGTGCACTGTGAGTGTGTTTGACCCCGTCATGTTGAAATTGTTGGGAGGAGTCTGAACTACATAGATGCCTTGACGTCGATCAATAACTATCACGGAATGTCCAACTGACTTTCGTGACCACGACTTCATCAGCTCTTCGCACTTAGTGGAGTCCTGTGAAGGACCACTTCTAATTTCTGCTCCTGTATCCAACCTCATCTTATTGAATTTCTCCACCAATCGCTAATAGGTATGTTGCACAATAAAAGCTATAGGAAGTGAACGAATACCTTTGAAAACACCATTGATGTTCTTTGCCATGTTGGATGTCATGATAGACCATCGACGCTCACCATTATAGTTATCATGTGCTAAGCTCCAACGAATTTGATGTTGGTCCACCCAGTTATCACAAGAAATATTTCTATCAGCCGCCACCTTCTTAAATTGCTCAACTTGACGATCGAACTTCTCCAAGCGTTTTTCTCCGGCTAAAAAAGTAAATAACCACACGAGTTAGATAAAATCATGACAAAATTACATTAAAGTAAATAACAAAATTAAATGAAGAAGGCTTACCGACTTGAAATAGTTGTTTATACATGATTTTGCTTTTAGTCTTTCTTTGCAAGTTGCTTGCGTAGTGTCGCATGCACCACCTCCACTCCCAACCTCTTCCAATGTCACCCATGGCTTAATAGAGTCCCGCATGTCTATACGAGATTATGCAGACATCATTTCGATCGCTCAAACCTTGAACGTGATTTATGAACCATGGTCAACTTTCAGTATTCTCGCTCTCGACGATGGCAAATGCTATTGGAAAAATCTTCTTACGACAATCAAATGAGTTCGCCATGATTAGCACTCCTTTATACTTTCCAGTAAGAAATGTTCCATCAACAACCATGACTCCTGGACAATTCTTGAATCCATCTATACAAGGTCCATAAGCCCAGAATACTTGCTGAAAGATTGAATGACCTGGTTGAGCTGAAAGAACTCTTACCCAATCAATCACTGATGTTGGCATTTTTCTCTTTACCACCAGCAAGAATGTTTGCAAATAATTGTAGGATTCTTCCCAATTTCCATACAACTTCTTCAATGCTCTTTGTTTCCCATACCAAGCCTTCTAGTAAGTAACTTGCATATTAAACTTATCTTTCAACTCGGCCTGCATAGTTAGAACACTCAGATTTGGTTGGGCACGTACCAAATGTTTGACGGCCTCACATATAATATCGACATCAAGATGGCGATGATCCGTCGGTTGAGTCGTACTGCTACAAGAATGCACCAACTCGGCCTTTCTGACAGTCCATTCGCTTCCAAAATCTCGACATCCAAACCGCACCATCCAAGGACAATTGTCATCCTTGTGCTTCAAACATCTGACCTTCCAGATTGAAGGTGACGACTCCACCATGCCATATTGAAAGTTGCGTTGTAGTGAGTGGTATTTAATCGCCACCAGTGTGATGACTCGGTATTTGCACATGTTTTCCCCTTTGTTTCTTGATTGTTTTAGCTTGAATTATCGTGTCTTTGGCCTATTTTATGCTAGGTTGTGTTCCTTTGTCCCATTTCAGGTCCTAGCACATAAAGTGAAGCATAGGCACAAGTTTCAAGTCAATCAGAGATCAATTGACGATTCGAGAGAAGAAACTCGGGCATGACCTGAAGAAGAATGGATTTCTACCTCACTTTATGGACAAAGAATCATGCAAGCTTGTTATGAAAAGAAAGAGGACGAGACTACGAGCGTCTGGGATCAAACGGCGACTGAATCGGAGGTCAAACGAGCTCAAACGAGATCAACGAAGCTTAGGAGTGCATGCTGGAAATTGTGCACGGCCAGAACCTCAATTTGCACGGCCGTGCAAGTAGGGGGTGCGAGTTTCAGCGGGTATAAAAGCTGTTTTGCGATTTTTGGAGAGAGAGAGCTGGGTTTTGGATCCCAAACACCCAAGGGACGAACCCTAGAGAGAGAGAGCGACTTGGGAACATTCTTGGAGCTATTTTGGAGGATTTCTTCGCCATTGGAGCTCGGGAATCAAGCTTGGAGATGGAGATTGAAGATCTAGATCAGATTTCTGCAGTCTCTCTCTTCTCTATGGAGTAACTTCCCTTCACTTAGGTTTTGAGGAACCCTAGTTCCATGAGTTAGGATCTTTCTTGTATGAAGTTTTGGATGCTATATTGTTTGATTATAATCGATTGAGGCATGATTTATTGAGTCAATTGAATCTTGATCAAATTCTCTTGATTTCTACTTTAACCTATGATAGATAGAATCTGATTAGGTTAAGAGAGCTTCCTTGATTGATAGTGGTGAATTGGTTGTGCGAGAGTCAATCAATTCACTGTTTGTACTGGAATCCAATTCCGG